TCGTTACGTTCTCAAGCCTCTCGACCAAGCAAAGACCAACACAGAGATGAATCGTGTCAAATTCTAATCTTTGTCGCCCTGTAGTGAGCCCGCCAAAGCTGGCTCGCCTGCCGAGCACTGCCCAAGACTCTCTGCCTCGTGTGATGGAGATCTCTCTCAGAATGACCAAGAATCTCTTTATTTACTTTCCAAAACATTAACCCTTGACATGGAAGTTCAAGAGATTGAGGGTTTGCATTCCTCACATTCTACTCATGTAGCCAATCACATGATGTACTTGCCACGTCATATACATTTGATTAGTTGTCCGGCATATTAGGAGACTACACACACCAAACTGTCAGGAAAAACGGTCTGTTGTCAACGTTTATATCGTAATTAGTTCCAATCACTGACTCAAGTGTGGCCTAACGCGTCCTATAAGCCTAAATAATGACATGTTATGGAAAAGTGTTGAATGATATCACCCAGCCACTCCATTAGACACCAGCTATCAAGTAAATATCTAGACACAAATCCATGACAGTAGTACAGTGTAATAAATTATAATAATTGTGTACAAGGTATTGACTCAAATAATCTGACTGTTTGAACGTTTTACGCCATGACTGACAACCTCAAGATTTGCTCAATATCAAAATAGCGGTGGGTAACACTATACTTCCAAAAACATTTGTTTTGGTTGAATTAATCAAAGTCGTAGAACGGTTCGTCTAAACAATGTATTTTGTACGCGTTGTGACGTCGATATGGGACCGATATGGCTGTAGCGCTTCAAGAATGTCTTGTAGTTTCAGACAGCAATTACTAATGCGTTTGTGTCATAAAGCTATTGTTCTCAGGCTTCGTATAGTTCAATGCGATTCCCTATAAATTGTAACTAATAATTGATGCATGTAGAAAACACTGAACTAGCGATTCTTTGTCATTCTGTCACAAGTGAGATATGACCATAATATGCATACATGTATATAGGGTCTTCATCTAGCCAATACAGCTGCCAGATAATGTAAAAATCGTGAAATGATATATACAATTTCATATATTGCACTTATATATATATTTCTGTAGATTGAAGGCGCATTTCTGCAGGGTTATGGCTTGTACATGTCGGAGGAACTTATGTGGTCAGAGAAAGGAGAATTAATACACAGTGGTCTTGGAATGTATAAATTACCGCATGTATGTAATATACCGAGGAAATTTAATATAGAACTTTTGAGTGATTCGGAATCTTCAAAGCACGTCTATTCTTCTAGGGTAAGCTGGCGGATTTTATGATGACTTGTTATTATGTGTAAAAAAAAATTATATATTTATTTAATTCATACATTTTAATTTTCAAAATTGTCAAAGCAATAGGTATTTATCAATTATCAGATCGTGGCATGTGGAACCTTAACTACTATCTGTACCAAGAGCGTGGTTGGTCACTGCTAAACCTGCATGAATTATAGAAAATTATTCGAAGAACACACCATAGCTTGATCTAATTGATTTGCAGTAACTTTCACCCCTGAACACGTATCATGTAGCCTTTAACATTAAGGACTCAATGAAGGGGGTATCTGATTCAATTAAGTGGGTGTCTGCCTTTTCAACTGTAACAAAATTGTCAAGTTCAGAAAAATGCTGCTTTTTCGATACGATGATGTGTCTGTGTCATTATAGACTGTTGTAGCTGATCTTATCACACGCCGCAATATACTGCATGATATAGTTTCCTTCTCTTCTTCTAAGCATTTGTAACAACCATAATCTGTTCTATACTTAAGAAAATAATGACAATCGTTGTACTTTTTGATCATCACTGTATATATATTGTTATCTAAGGACCACTATAGACTGATCTAAATTCGAAACTTGTCAGACACAGTCTGAATATAGATGTAATAAACAAAGTTAACCAGCTTTAATTAGACAATTTCTAACAAACTACTACAAAAATAATAGCGAACAAATTGCATCATTATGCAAATAAATCACTTCCTACAACACAAGTTCTATGTAACGTATATAGCTTAATCTGATGGAGAATAAGTCGCTAATTTGCGGTACAGATAGTCTAAAGCACTATTCGCTAAAAAACCTCAACCTGATTGCATCAAGTATGTACCCTTAAACCATAGTTACCTGAAAATTTATGCAGTTTCCATAGTCACACGTAACTTTAGTAACGTCTTCATAATTAACTTACTGAGGTTCATCTCCATAGTCATTCATTCATTCATTCATTCATTCATTCATTCATTCATTCATTCATTCATTCATTCATTCATTTATTCATTCATTCATTCATTCATTCATTCATTCATTCGTTCGTTCATTCGTTCGTTCATTCGTTCGTTCATTCGTTCATCATTCATTCGTTCATTCGTTCGTTCATTCGTTCATTCATACATTAACTTCCCAACTCATTTATTTATTTGTTTATTTATGTAATTATTTATTTATGTAGGGTGTAGGAGAACCGCCTTTAGTACTTGCTTGTTCTGTGTTTTTTGCTACAAAAGAAGCAATTGCCGCTGCTAGAAGAGATATTGGACTGAGCGAGCAGTTCAGAATGGATAGCCCTGCAATACCTAGACGTGTTCTGATTGTATGTGGCGATCAACATAAATAGACTTATTCAATGCACTGATTTCTACAATAGTGACGTAAATACTGTATATTTTATAGTATTATGACGTAATCAAATATCATGAATTAGTCAATACTTCAAAATAGCTTCAAAATTGTCGAGTTGTAAAATAAAACATATTTCTATTCGACTGTTATACACGTATTTCTACTCTTAGCATTTATTTTTGGTAAATTTGCTGTCATCTTGGCATTACAAAGTAATTGGTCTTGCTCTTTCTGAAAAAATCACAGCAACATACTAAACAAGAAAATATGTATAATTCAATATTTAACGTATTTGTCGTAGTCATACAATTTTGTCTTGTTGACATGAAATGTTGTAGTGATTTGTATAGCCAGCTCTATGCGGTTA